TATTCAATGGAAACGTCAGTACAACTCATATCATTTGTGGGAAAATTCTACTTCTACCAGTCCTTCATTATCGGGTGAATACATCTTTTAAAGGATTAGTAGTTGAACTTTCCCACAATTACATGAGTAGGAATCACGTTTTCAGTGATTTTCAAAATAGACTTTCTTCCCAAAAGGTGTTCTCATATTCACTGAAATGGAGTGGGCTTTCAACCTCGCCTGGACATAATCCTCTCCACCAAAGAGCATCAAACCCGGGTTGTTGCGAAGAAAAGTTAGGTTTCGATGAATAACTCGTTTCTTCTTTGTTGAATTTACTTCCGTTTCGAGTAAAAGTGTTTGTTGAAGAGATTCGAAGGTCGATCTCACCAAAAGATGGCGGCGAATTCCTCTTGACCAGCCGCCAATTGGCTTTTCTGGAATATTATTGTTGACGCTGTTTCCGAGGCAATCTACTTCGATTCCGATGAAAATGTGCTAAGCTTTGACCTGTTGCTTACTGAGTTGAAGTAAATATTTTTTATTGCAACCAATCAAGTAGCCTATTTTGGATATGGTAGAATTCGAGAGATTTGTTAATTCATTTACGAGGTCGCTCAAAGTGATCAAGTAATCATGTGATTGGATGTGAAATCGACGATGTTACTTATTCTCAAAATGAGCAGATTTCGAGATATGTTATACCTGAATGAGTGCTTAGACTTTGATGAAGATATTCAAAGCTCGTATATTTTTTGCTTGTATGAGACTATACACAAGGTAAGATAGAGCCAGATAGTCTTACTGTCTTAATGTTAACTTGGCAATTGTGCACGAATGAGTCCCAGCTTTGATGATGTCCATTATTTGTTGGACGAAAACTCAGCCCGTTTCACCTGAAACGATGGTCTCGTGGACTGTGCCAATCTTAACGTCGTATAAAGGTCAAAAGGCTGCCGCACAACGCGGTTAAACCGTCTTCTTCTGGTGAGATCAATCTTCAAATGTATTTTTTATGCACTTTTGTATGAAATGAAAGTCCAACCAATAATGTCATCTCAGGAGATTCATCGAAACCCAGTTACTCTTCGTAACTATAACAGTAGGTCGTATAAACCGATGATGTACTGGTAGTTGAATTTTTCCGCAGTTATATGAAAAGATCTTAGGTTTCCATTACACTTCCCCTATTATCACCCTATGCGGGATAGGATGAATACGGCTGGCTCTCAAGCGCACACATACAACACAAAACAGAACTTTGAGCGATACGCCAGTGAGTTTCCTTTAATAATAATAATATTCCTCCTATTTCATTGAAGATTATGAAGAAGTGGTAATTGAATAATTGCACAATACTATGAATAGGTGTCAAGTCTCCATTTGATTTCACATAGCCTTTCTTCCAAAAAGCTATTCTAATCCCGGCTGGAGTGGACTGAAATGTCGACCTCAGCTGGTAGAATGGATGAGATCACTTGTAGGGCACAAGACTATGTGAAATTCAGTTAAAAAGCCAGTCTTTCTCAATTAATTGGGTTAAGATTTAACTACATGAGACTGGTAGTCTCGAAACTCTACTTAAATATCAAAATTACGATTCAACTATCCGTCCTTCATTATCGTAAACAAAATAGGGTAAATACAAGTTCTGATTCAGGATATAATGGTAGTCTCGAAAACCCACTTAAAAAAATACATTTATCTTTATTCATCAACTTAAGTATTTTTCTTCAAGCCTGCAGGAGGCTGCCTGGGGGACTGCATCAACCAGAGGTCAGGCGTTGTCTTTTGGCAACATCGAGTTATGCGAATCTTTTCCTCACTCACCTCCACTCGAAGTGGAGGTGAGCTCAACAAATGTACCGAAACTTGGACGAAACGGTGACTTGTATGCAGCATCGGAGGAGGCGAGAGCGAACATGAAGGCGGATAGGCAGCCAGAGTTGTGGCAACCCACCGGGACAGCCAGTTGGTTGACAGCCTGACGCTGGCATAACGTTGGCCAAGTCAGCAAGCAAGTTGAAGTCCAAGTTGGCAGACAAGACGAGATTTACTCAACTCTAAATCAAGCCGAGTGGGGCCAGTTTGAGGTAGAAGAGAAAGAAAACTGGCAACTTCAACCAGCATTGCCTCTATAGGCTCTGGGCCAGACTACAAAAGCAAGGACGATAAAACATGATGGGGCAGGTCGAGAGGAGGGAAAGACCTCCATTTGGCATCGCCGATT